GTTGTCAGATGCCACAGCCACCTTATCGGGGTATAATAAACCGCATAGTGTCAGACATATAGAGTACCTTAGTCCTATATATCCACCCTTATTTCCCCTGCTTTTTCCGTATAGTTAGATATTCCCGTGAAGTATCACAAACTTCACTTAAATGAATACACACATAATTCCGCGTACCTTATTTGTGTTCTGACATACGTTCTGACACTTAGTATATTCTGGACTGGTATCTCTATACACGTATATTTATATCGAGGCTGACTAACGCCACTCCCTCGTGTGCAGGTCCACCAGCATCATACCTACCGGTACCTGGGAGCTTCCTGGGTGTACCTTAGCCTTAACGTGGCATCATCTCGGTACTTGCGTACGGATACCCGTACAGTACTCCCATTCCGCCATTCCCCAAAGTCTTCAGCGGCTTGCTTCTGAATGTGTTTGGTACAATGGGCACCAAACGGCCCCTTTAATATACGCCGTTTTTACCGCGAAGCACGAAACAATTATTCCATAGAGTGCTAGCCAAGATGCGGCTCGCATGGTACGCCACGGTGAGTCTTCCCATGCTGCATCGGATCACAGAGGCGACCGCTATCAAGACGAGACAGCAACAACAACAACCCTATGCAGCTCAGCTAACAAATGCAGATCTCTACGGCCCTGGCGGCGTCAGTGGTCTTTTCGGCTTTTCAGCAGCGAGCCAATTGTTATTCCGCAATGGTGTACTTGGCCCAGAGCAATGTCTGCTTGCTGGTCAGTCCAAGGAAGCTGCTCCAGGCTGTGGGAGCTGCATATGCTGATTTTCCCCGGACAGGTTCTTATCAACTTCGTATACTTGATCTATGGAACGGTGATATTCGGGCTGCAGCGATCGCTGTACGGGCCCTTGCGGCAGGTGGAAGTCGAACAACTGTCCGAGAAAGCCTGGTTCGCAATCACGGAGACGTGCCTTGCCATGACGATCTTTCGGGATGAGATTGGCGCCTGGTTTCTGGTCATGTTCACAGCACTCATAACGGGGAAAGTCTGGGGCTGGATTGGAGATGGCCGTGTGGAGATTCTGGAACAACAACCGCCCGCAAACCCAGGGCTCTTCCACACCCGGTTGAGCATCTCGCTTCTACTTAGCCTGGCCTATGACATTTGGATTCTCAGGTACTCAATGAAGACTGTCATCCAGCAGGCGCGACCTGATATGATGGTCATGTTTCTGTTCGAGTTTGCCGTATTGTCGACATCCTCTGCTCGCACTGGAATCAGGTACCTTGTTTCCGTCATGGAACATGGCATCATCAAGCGACAAACCAGACAAAGGCTTGAGGAGCGACGCCTCGAGGTACGGCAGAGAAGGGAGGAGCTCCTCCGTCAACGAGAACAACAGCCTAGGGGAGGTTCAACACCAGACCACGCCGAACTGCCGCAGGAGGAAGACATTGACGAAATGGACATTGAAGTTCCGGGTTGGGAAAACAAGGGACAATGGGTTCTTATCCTGGATCTTGTTGCGGGTATGTTCTTTCGAGCCCCTTGTGTATACGTTGTGACGTTTTTGAGAAACTCACACAGACTCCCAGATTGCACCAAACTTTCGATCTACATTGTATTTTTCTTCATCCTCTTCTCATTCTATGGCCTTCCGATCCACATCATGCGGGATCTTTTCATGACCGGTCGAGGTGTCATCAAGAGAGTGACGGCTTTGTGGAAATACAGGAAGGCCATCGAGGAGATGAACAAATATGCGGATGCGACTGAAGCAGACATCACGAGAGAAGATACCTGCATTATCTGTCGAGAGCAAATGAGACCGTGGGATCCCGGTCAAAACCCCCCTGCTCTTCAACGTGTCCGCCCTAAGAAACTGCCCTGCGGTCATATTTTGCACATGGGCTGCCTGAAGAGTTGGTTAGAACGCCAGCAAGTATGTCCGACCTGCCGCCGTTCCGTGGTTCTTACTCGTACCGAGAACATGGCGCTCCGCAATGCTGGCCCGGACCAACCCGGAGCAGTCGGGCCATTGGCCCCGGGGCAACAGGAGCTACCTCAGCGGGGCCCAGGAGGCCAGCAGGGCCGAGACGTGGAAGCACGGCGTCCGAACGGTGGTGCTCGTGTCTTTAACTTGGGCAATCTCAGGGTAGGCTTTGCGCAAGGCGGTGAGAACATTCAGGAACTTGCGCAGCGCATGGCCCAGCCCCGACTGGCCATCACCCCGCCAGAAGCTCGACTTGACCCTACTACTGCCGTCGCAACCGATCGTCAGACCGCTCAAGGCTCGTCTGGAAGTGATTTGGAGTCGATTCGCGACCATCTGATGGAGATAGAGAGGACCATTCAACGACAGCTCCAAACCCTTCAGTACGACCATCGGCAACTACAAGTCTGTAATCTTTTGCTTGCTGAACTTCAAAGACTCCACCAGCAACGACAGCACGACACCCAAGCGGGCGGCGTCGGTGGGCCTGCCGCCCTCCATACTCCATTTCCATTGCAGACGTCCTTGCCGCCTCTGATGTCTCTTCCAAACGCATCGCTTCAGTCCGGACCTTCGCCGAACACTACTCGTCACGGCCTCGCCACGAACTCCAACGCGATACTGGCTGGCAGCCCAGAGTTGCCAGAAGGTGTTGTCATCCCCCCTGGGTGGTCACTGCTGCCGCTTCAACGTCTAGAGGGTGTTCAGGTCCCAGTCACGCAGTTCCATCCGAACACGGTCTTCTCAGTGGGGAATGGGCAGCCGACCTCCTCAAATACCGTGAACCCAAGGTTCCCGGCCTCGGCTCCCTTGACCAGTTCCGGTGACATGACAGCGGCGGAGGAATCAATGTCACGACAGGGCTCCACAATCCGACCTAGCTCCACGCTTAACGAAGATCTACACCACCCGTCAGCTGCAGAGCCAATGACCGCCTCTGATCGCCTTACCAGGGATTTTCCTCCCAATGAACTGGACCCCTCTCGTGTGGAACACCGGGATGAGGGGCATCAACCAGAAATCTTGTCCCCAAACCCTGTACTACCGAATTGGGGCGGAGAAAACCAGCTTTTTGGAAGAGGCTCGGTTCTCGCTCATGATGCCGGGTCAGGAACCCCTGTTCGAGAACCGACAGACTTGAATTGGGGAGCGACCGATGAGACCCGAGCTGCTGGCCCATCATTGATGTCACCAGCTCACGACGATGTTGTCACCAATGAGCCCAGAGATCAAGCCGAGCAACCTACGCCAGAGGGGACAGGGAAGGGGAAGGCGAAGGCGAAGGCGGTTACAATCGAGGACGCGGAGGATGAGGATGGCAACTGAGAAGAATTAAGCATTTTCTTTCTAGCGGCGTCTCTGCGGTCATTTCGTAGTCTGACTACTCGATATTTTGAGATGAATGATCATCCTCCGGCATGACCACAAGTTATTTTCTGCTTCCGAATGGGCTTGAATTCTGATGATCGTGCCGCAGTGCAGTTGCACATGGCTACTCTTCGATTCGCCGAGCGGCTGCCACGGGACAGTATTCCTCTCCAATGTGAGCCGGGGCTACTCCGAACAGGGCTAAGCAACCAAGCATGGAGGTCATGTTGGAGATCCATGGGGTGAAAGGAGACAGGTCGAGTTCGTCTCGATTGGTGTCCTGTATGGTCCCTTTCTTGCTTGACTTGTTTGAGTACTGGGAGTCTTGGTACGCCACTATGTAGGTAAGAAACGACGGCTTCCCCTTTAGGTATACGACAGACATTCGGAGATGAAGCTCGCAGTGGATGGCACAGTATTCGCACTCATGGTCTACTGCCTGGCGAGAACAATTGCTCACGCAATTGCCTGTCTGTCGGGCATTCTCGGACAGTGATTTAGACAAGCAGCACATTGCCGCTTCACACGTTACATTTCACTCTAGGTGTCGTCGTTCCGAAAGGGAACATTATGGCATCATGTGCGCCTTTTTGCTCCGTGCCGGAGTGATACCCCGAGCCTGACGGATTTCGGATTCCGAGAACAATAGATTATGAAAGGGACTCAATGGCAGACCACATGTCGCATGGGCACAGACCATGCCTGACTAAGGGCTTCGGACCTCGGGGATCAGGACATGACAAGGGTGGATATCGGGAAAGACCGGATAGGATCCAAATGACATAGTACCTATAATATTATCTGAGCAAGCTCAGACTAACCCTGGGGTTCTTATGGCTTATGTATATAAATTATGCAAAATTATCGGTAATATACGTATATATGGATTCGCACTAGTAATTTAGCTAATTAGAGGACTTTATTCTGTTTATATAGGACTCGCCCATAGGGTAGTCTAAGGCGCGAGCGTAAACGGACCCCCCCCCCCGGATAAACGCTAGCATAACATTTTTTATGGCTTGTAATCCTATAACACTAAACCGTTATTAAAACCATTAATCTTTAACTATTAAGATCGTAAAAATCAGGGCTTTTCGATAATACTAATATTATCGATATAATAGATATCTGTCTTAGTAGCGAGTTAAGCGACCTTACTATTACCCTAGCCGGGCTAAGCTAAGCACCTAGTTACGGCGCTACTAAAGCCCCTAATACTCTAGTTCCTAGTAATTAGTCTAGTAAATCTGCTAGTGATTAGTTTAGTGAATTACTAAGTAAAGAGGAAGATACCGAACCTAAAGTCAAATTAACCCTGGATCTCTGGTATAAAGAACGCGTTAAGGCTTATCGTCGTGGATCCAATACTGCCTAGTTACCTAAGTCTTTCCTTACGTCTTGGGTAAAAACCCCGTATCGAGCTTATTTACTTAAGGAGGAGGCCTTTATAGATACCGAAGTTCGTGGATATATAAAGGCCTAGGGCGTTACTATCACTACCGACTATAGTGCTCCTACCCAGGGAACTTATATCTTTAATTCTATTTATCTTTATTAGTAGCTAAAGGCCTTAAATGATTAGACTAGCTTTAACACGTTCGATATAAGCACTTATCGTAATACTAAAGTTGGCGAGATAACTATTAGCTAAGTCTATAATACGGGATAGTTAAATACAATACTAGAAGACGTTTAGGCTACTCTAAAGGTATATATACCTCGGTTTATAACTCTGGTTAGTTACCTAATAGTCTAGTAAATAGGCTTTGTAAATATAGTTACTAAGTAGGGTAATAATATCGATACTAACGAATAGTATTCCGTATATATAATCACTTTCCTTTTACTCTTTAGCTATACTAAGAGAAGTATTATATTCTTCCGCTAGGTTATCGGCTTATACCTATTATCTAACGGAATACCTTAACGCGTTATTAATAGTATAGCTTAATTTAGTATCTTAATATCTGATAGATATCTTAATAATATACTCAATCGTATATCTAAGAATATAGTATTAAGTTAGCTATCTTTTCTGCTCTCTTATACCATAAGCTAACCTTTATATCAACTAATATTAAACAGGTAGCTTATAATCCCAATACCGGTATTATATACTATAATTTCGATTTCCTGAATTAAGTTAGAGATCTTATTAGAGGTAAATAAGATTAGTTTATTAACCTAATAAGTTCGTTAATCGTCTAGTGCCCTAAGCTTAGCGGGCGTTTTTTATAGCGATAGGTTAAGTTAACTAAGCTATTCACGAAGAAGATAGTAGTAAATTACCTAATCCCTTATAAGCCTTTACTCGATACGGTCTCCCGCTTTATAGTCCGTTATACTATAGCTAATATCTTCCCTAGCGATAATAAACCCGAACTACCTACTATTAAAAGGGTTAAATACACTAATAGGCCTTACCTATAGCTCGGGGCTATCTTTAAGAATAAGGGTATTATTACGGGTATTTGTACTCTGCACGAAGAGCTTTTTAAATAGTGTCTTGGCCCTAATAACGAGTAAACCGTTAATAATTATATTATACTTATATATAGCCACTAGAAAACGACCTTATTTATTCGGAATATAAAATAATTATAGCTTAAGTCTAGAATGTCTTAGGAGCGCCGCGATTAGGTAATTTCTATACCGATATTCTTCTATATCGAGCCTAATATACTAGACGTATTATTCCGTAACTTCTAGGGTACTGGCTATTAATATATTTAATTTAGCGCCACGATATCCTATAATATTACACGGTTCTAGGATAGTCGTTATATTAATCGTATGAAGATTAAATACTATTAGGCCTTGCCCGCTCTGCTTTACAGATTTATAGCTAGGATTCTAGCCTATCTAATTCACGAGCTATTCGATAAGTCTTAGGAGGACGGTATAGCTATCATACTATTAAATATTAAAGATATAGTAAAGGAGATAACCCCTAGTAAACTTAATAAGCACCTTATAAAGGCTTAGAAGAAGCTCTTTACTCTTAAGTCTTAGATTAGGGATGCTATATAAAGAATAGCGATAGTATTAGTATTAGCACTATCGATATAGAATTCTATAGCTATTATCGCCTTCTAGAATACGTTAAGGTCCTGCTTATTATATACGAGGCTATACGGTATAGCGACTTTAGCCTCCTCAGCGATATTATACCCTAGCTGCCTATCTTCTTCTAGGGTAGTAAATCCTGGAGGTATAACCCTAAGATAATATATTTTGCTTAGTATTTATATTTAGATATATATAATAAAAAGGCACGCGAGGCTATTTTAAAGGGGGTCTTATTCGTTACGCTACTGCTAGGAGCGGCTATAAGGTAATTAACCTACTAATTATACACGTTAATACCTTATATATCCTAGATATTAAGTATAATAAGAACTCTACTTATAATATTTTATCGACCTTCGAGAGATTAGCGCTAAATAGTAGCTATATTACTAGGATTCCAAAGGGTATTAAGGGCTTCCTTAGTACTAAGCTAAAAGTTATATGTTTATACGGGCAGTCTTTATATTAAATTATAGAGTACGCTTATAGGCTTTATCATAACGGAATCACTCGCCCTTACTATTATGAAGGGCCTGCTTTTAATACCCCTAATATCTATAAGCTTAGCTAGAAAGCCTTTCTTAAACGCTAAGATAAGTTTAATAATAGTGTTAAGAAGCCCCTTAATCCTAGCGAATAGGCTAGTATCCCTGCTATAGCTAAAGAGGAAGATATAATTAACTATTAAGAAGAGGGGGATTATTTATTTATAAGCGAGGAGGATAATCTTTAGGCTAAAGCCTTTAATTAGGATAATTAGAGGGATAATTACTCGTAATTATCCCTAAGTTCTGGTAGTAATTATAGTATTTGTTATATTACTCTATAATCTAATAATTCCCTTAACTATACTCGAGTTTAGTATAGGTAAATAAAACAAGGTATAATATAAGATACCTAATACCTTTATAGGCTAAATAAAGAAGTAATAGTAATATAATAAGTAAGTGAATAAGGGATAATTACTTATAGTTACTCTTGAGGATATCGGACAAGTGGAAGGGACGAAAGTTACGAAAAGCAGTGGAAAACTAGATAGTAATAATGGGATTATGTATGTAGGATTTCTGCGCGCGTGTGGATTGGGAAAAGCGATTAAAGAAGAAGAACAAAGGAAGGACGAACCGAACCGAGGGAACGGGTTAATATCCTGTATTCTGTCCTTCTTTATAAAGGGATCGATATCGTAATAATATCATAGTCTATTATCTAAGATCGATATCGTAATAATATCATAATTTTTTTTCTAACTCGAAACAGAACAGTCTAGGCTTACGGGGAAGATATCCTTTATTCGAGTACGAAGGTACTCGAAGGATAGTAATATTAACAGTTACTACTAAATATAATATCTATTCTAGCTAACTCTTCTAAATATTATAATCTTTCTAGCAATAATAAAGGCTATACTATTTTAGCGTCTTCTATAACCACTATTATTATCACTATATCTTAATAGCCTTGTAATATATACGAAGTCCCGTCCTCTTCCGATAAGGAATAAGAGATACTATATAAAAGGCCTAAGAAGAAATAGAAGTAGAAGTAGTAGTAGAAACGCCCTCGTATAGAAGATAACGAGTCCTAGCCCTAGACTAGGTATTTCCTACTATATATATCCTTAGCTATTATCACTTTCTATTAATAGTTTAATAGGCTACTATAATATGTATCTAAATAGCGTATAAGTATATTAAGCGGTATATTATACCCGGCCTCTCCCCCCCTACCACCGGCACCGTATATCGCTTCGCGGAGCTAGTATTAAAAAGGGACCTCGTCGCTGGTAATAAGTGTAACTTTACTACTAATAAGAGCTAGAACGTCGCCGCCGCCATACTATAGGTTGCCGGCGATAAGGCTCTCTCTTCTTATAGCCGGTATAATAGCGGCTACGGCTTAAAGGATAGTTATATAGTGCCGCCGCTATCTCTTCGTTCCATTATTAAGGGCGCCTACGCCGACTATTATTATAATACCTAGCGGAGTTAATATTTCTTTTATAATAGTACGTACTAAAATCGCTATATAGTTAGTATACCTTTAATATCTTATTTTAACAGACTATCTAAAGTCTTTGGTCCCCTTATCGTCGGTTTCGCCCTTAGCCTTAGAGCCCCTCTACTGGTAAGTCCGTTTACCCTTAATATTCCTTTTGTAGTCGCCGTTTTGCCGGCTCCTATACTATCTACGTTTGCTAGCCTAGACCTGCTAATATAGAAGAAAGAAGAATATATAATGATAACGGATACTTCCCGGACTAGTGGTAAGGTAAGCCTTTAGATTAATGTAGCGGCCCTGGTATAGGCTAAGCTCGAGCTATAGTAGAGATAACAATAGTAGTAGTAGTAGAAGTAATCGTAGTAGGAGGGAAAGGTGGAGTAAGAGGAGTAGTAAAAGGAGGTACTTAATAAGCCCGATACCGAGTTACTGTGGCCTATTATACTACGATTATTTACTACACTAAATAAGAGTAATAATGAGGTAAATAGCGAGGGTAAGGGTAAGGAGGATAATATTAACAAGCTCCTTAATATCCTAGAGAAGAATACCGTGAGCTTATAATAGAACGGATCAAGCTATTACTTTTAGTATAGAACGATAATAAGTAAGTATCCTTATTATAATACAATCTATTTATTCTAATCCTTTAGCTATAATGACGTAAGAAATAGATAAGGCTATAATCTTAATTTCACTTTACTTAACATACTCAAGCTTATTATAAATTAAATATTTTCTTTTTTTAATACGTACCTATAAGTACCCTTTTTCTTTATAATAATTATGTATAATTATCTCTTTTCCTTCTTTATAACCGGGCCGCTAATAGACTAGGGACCCGAGCTAGTATTATAAATACGTTTATAACCCTTCTTCTTCGCCTTCCGATCCTGCTAGATCTATAAGACCTTAAGTAACTTAGTAAGGTAAACGTTAACTAATTCGTCTCCGTAATCGCGATAGTCTTAATCTACTAGATTAATAATATGCCCTGACTAGGTATATCCCTGGCTAGCTAGTACTATCGGACCTAGGGATTCTAGGGTTCAGAAAGGGGTAACCTTTACTATACAATATACGGTATAATAAAGATATCTTCTCTAAGCTAAGGGGGCGCGCTCCCGGGACTTAAGTATTCTACGGATAAACCCTGTAGAATCCTCGGCTCCTACGTATAGGAACCCGGGGGATTCCCCGGTATTTCCTAATTATACCCTAGGGAGGCTATAGTATACTCTAAAAGTACCTATAGTGTACCGTGTATATGCTATGGCTTATACTATAGTACGGCTAGGGTACCCCGTGGTATACCCTGGTATTCCCGGTGGAATCTAGGGCGTATTAATTAAGGACCTTACCGACTACCTCGGAAATATTAGTAAACGACAGCTAACACTTATCCTTTATAAGACCCGAAAACTAGTAAGATATAGCCTATTGTAGACGGCTTTTTATCTATATCTCCGGTATAAGTATTATACGACGTTACTTAACACTAATAAAAGTCTATACCTTATCTTAATACTAGGCTATAATAATCGTATTAAGGGCTAGGCGGGCGAGGGACCTAATGGATAGTATCTTCGCTAGTATCGTGAGGCTAAAGGGACGGTATATCGCCTAGACTATAATTGTAGCCGTTATAGTAAACTTCTACTACGATCTAACGCTTATATTCGAGGTCTAGCGTATCCGGCTTCTAAATATATATAAGGATAGCCTTATGGAAGTATTTTGCGTTTAAGAACTTTACTATATCCGGATAATCCTTAGCGAGCGCCTGCTATTATATAAGTTTAGACTTCTGCTACTTCACCTTCTGCTTAATACTAAAAAGGGTCTACGACTTACCGGTTATAATAGTAGATTAATCCTAGTCGCTTATATTAAAGGTCTAGGAGTTAGCCTTAATATAAGTATTATCTATTTCTAGGAGTACGCTAATAACCTCTTTAAAACGACTAGGACGAATAGGCTTATATATAGCCCGCCGTTAAGGCCTAATTATATACAGGATAGTATCGCCCTGTCCGAGATAATTAAAATACTATTATAGTACGAAAAGATAAGCTATCTCTTAATCTCCAAGATCCTTACGTATCGCACGTCTAAATGTTTAAATAATATCAGCTAAATTAGGCTAGGGTGGTAGGCCGAATTAAACGATATGCTTAATATTATGGATATCGATGCCGATACGTATAGCTATCGTGGCTAGAAAAACTCTAGTAATAGAGTCCTTTTTACGGAACTCCTTATAGATAATATCTCTATTACCCAGGCGGATATCTATATTATACCGACGAATAATAGTGGTAGCTTACGAGCTAGTAAGGTCCCGGCTTTTCCGTAACTAATACACTAGGTGTTTATCCTTCTTATAACTCACGTAGAGGGACCTACGTTTTACGCGCAAACGCCCTAAACCACTCAAAACCTATAGTAATCGATAGCTCCTTTCAAGCTCTATACGCCTATCTATGGTCCTATATCGCGCAGGCGCTAATTTAGGCGTATTATAAGTGTGAAAATGCCTAGAAATAGGCCTGCGGCTCCCCCGCGTGCGGGGGAAAAGTCTGGCGTGGCCCGTGCGCCCACGCTAACAAAGCAGCAGGCCTAGCCGCGCAGAGCCGCACCCCCGACCTCCACCCAACCATAACGCCACAAACAACAACCTACTAGCCATAACGCTAGCTATAATAACGCCTCTAACGCTCTAAACGCCCCTAACGCCCCTATAACTATAGAGGGCCTAGGGGAGGTTGACATAGGTAATACCTTTAATATAGAGGATTTAACCCTCGCTACGCCGCTATACTCGAAAAGGCACCTTAGCTCTTCTACACTAACCCCTAAACGTTTTTATAGGACCCGAATCGAATCCCCCTCTAATTCGGAAGCCGAAGTTGCTTTTAAAACGCCCTCTAAGGCCCCCCTGCTTCTAAGGCCCCCCCGTTAAAAACCGAGTCTTTTAGGCTCTAAATAGGCTAAAAGGGCGCCTAGTATAGCTAAAGCCCCTAAAGAAACCTCGGCTAAGCCCCAGAAGTCGACTAGTTCGGCTAGTAAGGCATAGGCTAAGGAACTACTCTAACAGGCTCTTTAGCTGCTTTAATAGGCCTATACCCTCGACCCTGCCCCTAGATTAAGGCTCTATCCGTAGGGCTTAAATCTACTCTCGACGGAGCGCTAAAAGCCTCCTAGCCCCTTATACTCGAATAAAAGATCGATAAGCTAGCCTAGGTAGTTCGTAGGCAAATAGAATAGTAGCCTAAACCCCTTTATAGCGAGGCTTTGAAGGGGACAAAAGGCCCTACCCAGGCCCCTATTTCAGGGGCTCTAGCAGCTCTAGCACCGTTAACCCCTCTCCCCCTAGCACCCCGCCTAATAGACCCTAAAAAGGTCCCTAAA